TTTTTCTGTGAGTCCTGCAAGTTCAGCCAAGCAGTTCAGGCAAGAGCAGTTTCTTGCCCAAATGGCTAACAAACTCCTTAAGGAGCCTCTTTGATACCCATCATCCTGTTGAAGTAGATTGGTGTTACCAGAAGCAAATGTGTCTCATTGTCACGAAAAGTCCTACCTTCTTAAAAAATTTTAAATGCCATACTCTGTAGTCTTTCAAAGATCTGAAGAATACCTATCTAATTGAAATATATCTCTAAACATCTAGAAAACCTAACTAACATGACTACAAGTTTGGCAATTACAGATGACTATCTATTAGCCTGTATTTCTTAATTATACATTACATTTTTAAATGAGCTGCACAAAAACAATACATTAATCAAGAGCAGAAATATGCATATAGCAAAACTGACCTTAAATTTGAATCAATAAAATAAGATCCATATCAATGCAAAGTATCCATCTCTATAGCACATCCCCCTTTAAATGTAAACAAAAATTTATAGACAATATTTGGGAATATGGGCATTGTTCTCTAAACTGCTTCCTGTTGATTGGGATGCTGATATTCAGGTCTCTCATAGAGTATCCTGTGTAGCAGGTCCATTTCAGCCAGCTTCCCTGTAGCTGTCATGGATGTTGGACCATCTGGACCATTGCTTCAAAGGGTCTTGTTTGATCAAACCATATTAGTCATAAGGAATTCACAGCTTTCACTCTAAGGGAAACCCCTTCCAACCATGCTCACCCTTCCAGGACACAAAGGAAGAGGCTGATCTGTAGTTGAAGAGCGCTTCCAACCAAAACCCAGAACGAAGGACACAAGATCTTGATGACATTGGGCTGACTCTATTCTGGCTTTGTCTCAGACAAAAGAAAACAGCACAGCCATTCATTCCAGAAGATCGAGTCTGCTCTTCAGATGGGTTTGTGGGTTCTCAGGACACATGTGCTCACAAAATAATAGAACCCAACTTTCAGAGCATTCATTTTGGATGTAGGGGATAAAGTAAATAAATGAACTATTAATATAAAATTTACCTCCCGAACCCTTATATTTACATATATTAAAATAAATAAGTTATGAAAAAATGAAGAATTTACATTAAAATATAAAACTTCAAAAAAGTGTCATGTTATGGATGGCCACTTTTGGCCAGTCCTAGACCACAGAATCTAGAATGGCTGCACCCTTTAAGAAAAGGTGGAAGAGGATGTAGAGATGGCTCAGTGGTTAAGAGTGGGTACTGTTCCCACAAAGGACCCAAGCTCAGATACTGCACACACATAGGACAGCTCACAACCACCTGGAAATCCACCTGCACTCACTTGTGCACACACCCATTCTCTCTCTCTCTCTCTCTCTCTCTCTCTCTCTCTCTCTCTCTCTCTCTCTCTCTCTCTTTTTCTCCTCTCTCATATATATGTGTGTGCATGTGTGTGTGTGTGTGAAAAATAAAATTATGCCCCTGAAGGTCCCTGTCAATCAAAGAGAAAGCGTTCCAAAGGTATCGCCCTTGGATGGGTAATGGACCACTTTAAATATTTTTAAATTGCATTCTCATTTACAGTTGACCCATTTCAACTCTGCATTGCAGGATTTTATCAACAGTTTAATCTCAGCTGTGTTCCTTGGAGTAGTTGCCCTGATAACAATTCAAGAAAAACAAAGAAGGCATTTGTGTTTTATTGGAGGGGTAAGTAGAGGCATTCATGATTCTATTTAAGATCAGTGGTCTGGGGCCAGTGAAATGGCTAGGTGGGTAAAGTCTAGCAACCTATGTTCATTCCCAAGGCCCACATAATAGGAGAGAGTGACTCATAATTTGTACTCCAGCCTCCACAAGTACACCAGGGCGCATGTGTGCATACACATACACACACCAATAAATAATACAAACATTTTTAATGAAAAAATAATATAAGCCGGGCAGTGGTGGTGCATGGTTTTAATACCAGCACCAGCAGGCAGAGGCAGGCAGATCTCTGTGAGTTCGAGGACAGCCTGGTCAGTCTACAGAGTGAGTTCTAAGACAGCCAATGCTACACAGAAAAACCCTGTCTTGACACCCCCTGAAAAAAAGCGTATATGATGACCCTAAAAAAGAAAGGCCATCCTGATGTTATTAACAGAACAGATAAGACTTACTTATTTTTAAGGTATGTAGGTATGTATACATGCAAGCAAGTACCAATGGAGGTCAGAAGAGGACACTGGACCCTCGGGAACTGGAGTTAAAGACAGTCGTGAGCCTCCACATGGGTCCTGGGAGGCTCTTAACCACTGAGACATCTCTCAGAACCCCCTTCTCCTTCGTGTAGTGACATCTTCAAATGATGTCAAGTGGCCCAAACCTGAAACTCAAAAACCTCACAAAATGTATTCTCCAAACAAGTTTATTAGTCTATGGAACAACTTTTAAAAATCATATACAATACATATAAAACACTGCGAGGAAAAAAAATCCCTTATAATTGAGTGTCTTAGTTACCATTCTGTTGCTGTGAAGAGACTACAAGACAAAGGATTCCATTGGGGTCTGGCTTACATTTACAGAGGATGAGTCTGTGACTATCATAGTTGGGAGCACGGCAATAGGCAGACAGGCACAGCACGGGAGCACTAGCTGAGAGCTCACATCTGACCCACAGGCAGCCGGCAGAGAGTGAGACTAGGCATGGCTTGGACTTTTGAAACCACAAACCCCACCCCCAATGACACCCCTCTTTCACCAAAGTCATGCCTCCGAGTCCTTCTTAAACAGTTCTCCAACTGGAAGCCAAACCTTATAGGGTCGGTTCTTATTCGAATTACCACACTGCAACTTTGTTTGTTTGTTTGTTTGTTTTCCTGGACTAGAGAACTATATTAAACAAAGATCTAAGGGGGCACTGTCAGAATGGAGTAATTTGGCTTGACCAAGGAGGAAGGAGGAAGGGATCCTGCCTGTGTTGAAGGACCTCGTGTGTGTCCTGCACGGCCTAGGCACCTCCTTAATCTTGTTGTCCTATAAATAGTGTCTCTCATCCAAGACAGTCTCTAACTTGCTCTGGGGATTGAGGATAAACTTGAACTTCTGATTGCCCTGCCTCTACACATTCCCCATCCCATACTGGATTACAGCTATGCACCACCACGCATGGTTTCTGCAGTGCTGGGGATCAAACCCAGGGCCATGTGCACACCAGGCCAACACTATACCGTCAGCACCACTTCCGTGGTCCTCGACTTAGGCTTTAAATTTTCAGGTTTACAGACACATGGGTGTATCTTTAGACTGAGGTTAAAGACATTGCCCCGGATCACAAAGCTTAGATAAACTGAGCCTAAATTCATATTGAATGGAAGAATGCAAGAAATAGCCAATCAAATTTTTGGAGAATAGGAGGAAGAACTGGAACTTGGCTTAATTGTGTGGACAGGAAATAGCCAAGAAGAGAACAAAGTTAAGGCAGGTATGATGTCCCAGTGGTACTTACCACTAAGCATCATAGCCCAAATTCAAGACCCAAAATCCACACAGTGGAAGGAGAGAGCTGACTCCTGCATGTGGTCTCCAACCTCTACACAGCTTGGAGATGCACTTTTGAACACTGTCTCTTTGACTGACAGGGACCTGCAGGGGCATAATTTTATTTTTCACAGATTTGAGTTCATGTGATTTTAAGGTCTTGAATAGGATTTACACGCACACAAATGCGCACACACAAACGCGTACATGGACACACACAAATGCTCACATGCACACATACACACACACACATTAAATAGAAATACAGGGACTTTTGAAAAGGGTTTGGATTCCATAAGTCCATTCCATAATTGGGGAGTATTTTTGCCAACGGCACTGCACTGTGCCAAGCTGGAGCTGGGCGCTGGGAGCAGAACCCTTTCTACTAAGAAATTCACACAGGGGCTGAACAAGGCCTCCTAAGAAGCTGTCATCAAGTAGCTCACAAAGAGAACTATCCATGACTGGAATACCAGCTGCTGTCAACCCTGATCCCGGTCTGACCACTCATCAACCGAGATTTCATTTCATGACCCCCCCTCCACACACACACAAACACACACCTCCAGCCTTTCTCTCTTCTTGCTTGGACTGGCATCAGCACACCTCCATGCCTTCCTGCCTTATCCAGGTTCACCTTCCCTTCATCTCATAGGCACTGCAGGAGGGTTTTCTGAATCTCAAACCTGTCCCCTCCTCAGAGAACTCCAGACCGTCCACCACCCAGGCTCAACTCTGCCAGGCACTCGAGCTATAAAGGGCATTGACTAAATGCAGTGGTTTGCAACCTAATTAATGCTGGGGTTGTTTAACGCAGTTCCTCGTGTTGTGGTGACACCCAACAATAAAATCATTTTCATTACTTCTTCATAACTGTAATTTCACTATCGTTAGGAATCATGGTGTAAATATCTGTGTTTTCCCTTGGTGTTCGGGGAGCCCTGTGAAAGGATCATTAGGGCAAAGGGGTCGCAATCCACATGTTGAGAACCACTGGTCTAGTAGCTAGTGGGTCATAAGATCAGGCCACTGTGGGCAGCAAACCACACTGTTTTCCATTTTCTAGGGAAAACAAACCTGGCTGACAGAAGCCAGGAGGGACAAGCTGTAGCTCTTGACACCATCTGATAGGAACTGCAACGAGATATGGATACTGAGATCATTGTTAAAGTAATCTGGCCTTTCCTTCCCAAATATATTGTGTCTGACAGATCCTGTGCCTCTCGGCTGCAATCCTGTGTCTCATCGATGCCTTGCTGGTCTCCAATGAGATGAGGAAAAACAAGAAAAAAAGCCCTGAGACTGTAACTAAGCCCTCCACCGTCCATTGAGACAGAAGCTATGATGAAGTCACCCAGCCCTTCCAGAATTTGACTGAGAGACTCGTGTCCGCGTATAATCAATCACTCCCTCCAGGTCATCACAGAGCTCCAAAGCACACATGTGTGTGGCCATAAAGACAGGACTGCTAAATCGTCAACACGTCTGCTTCCTCGTATGGCCTTGTGTAAAAGTCACATCACACTCCCACTCCTTCACAAAGCTGTCCCAGGAGGACAGAAGGGACAGAAACCCAGGGCGCAACAGCCACAAACCTGGGACTCCTTCTCAAGGAAGGCCTCGCTAGGACCAGTGGGGCTCCGCGCATTCTGCCGCGTGGAGGGTGGGATGTTCCGCATCCACAGGGGTGGGGCGATCCTGCTGGTCCACGAGATGAGGCGGGCTCGTGCTGACCAAGCCTAGGAGTTGGAATTCTGCAGTCCCAACCGTCAGTTGAGCACCATCCTTGAACGGGTCTGAAGACACCAGGCTCTCTCTTGAGCTGGGCCTGTTCAGGGACTGCAGGCAGGGCTGAGCAGTGAGAAATTGAGAACTACTGCCAACCATGGCCGAGCCTGAGCCTCCGCCTGGGCCTAGGCCTGGGCCTGGGCCTGGGCCTGGACCTGAGCCTGAGCCTGAGCCTGGGCCTGGGCCCGGGACTGCACCTCCGCCACAAAATCAGCCCAAGGATGATGTAGGCACAAGAAAAGGGTTTCAACGCTACAAGTGGGAATTCAAAGACAGCAATAAAGAGTTCTGGACAATGGGACATGCTGAGGTCAAGATCCTGTGTTTGGTAAGCTGGATTGGAATTCTAGGGGTGTCTATGGACGGGAGGGCCGTAGAAGTCGGGGAGAACCCTTGCAACAGCTCAGAAATACGTATTTTTCCACCCAGGGTTGCATGATCGCTGGAATAAAACTCTTCGAAACAGTGGCCACACACCCCATCCTGATCCTGATCCTCACTATGGAAGTGTCCTTCTTTGCTTTCTTCATCTTCCTTTACAGCTTCGCCCTTAACAGATACATACTCTTTGTCTACTGGCCCATCACTGTAAGTAAAGAATGTAGGAGAGCTGTTGCCAGTCACCTTCTAAAAGCACCTGGAAAAAGACAACCTCCTCTACTGGTGCTCAGGGTGGGAAGCTGGGTTAGAGAACCGAAGCCAGACAGAAAATGCTCCCCCAAAACCTAACTGTGTTGGGTCAAAGAAGAGTAATCGAGGCTTTGCTGTCTCAGAAACAGGCAGGGTTTCAAAACCAGCCATTTTTGCTAATGTTTTTTTGCTGGCATCCATCTCATTGGGATATCATTCCAGGATTCAACACAGAAAATCAGACTCTGCATAAACCAGTAAGGTAGGGGGAAAGAAATGTCAAACATGGCTAAACCATGTCAGGTCTCTAGTGAACAGGAAGAATGCTTCAGGAGCAAGGCCAACCTGAAACAGTCATCCAATGGGGTGAGGCTGAGCTTGGGAAGTCCCTCAAGCATCCATTCCTCTGGTCCCTTATCTATGCCTCAGGGACTGCAACAATCCATAGTGAGACTGGCCACACGTAAACTTCTTACCATTGTGTCTTAGGTCTCAGGACTAGAATTCCCTCACCTCACTTACAGAATCACCAAACGTACCCAGCTAACTTCCTCCTAGCCAAGGAGCACCTCAACTTCCAGTTCCCTTTGTTCATTACCCACCTCTAGAGCCCTTGGTTCCCCAATTCCTTTCACTTCACAAACCAGCAAATGAGCCCCCCGAAGTCAAATAACCTGCCCTTCAACTAAACTCAACTAGTAAACAGCACAAAAGAAAAAGAAGAAAGAACCAAACTTAATGGAATATTCTTCTGTTAGCTGTGACCACCTATCTGTCTGCCCTTTTGTTAAAAGCTGTTAGTGGCCAAGTTGTGGTGGCGCACACCTTTAATCCCAGCACTCAGGCAGCAGAGGCAGGTGGATCTCTGAGTTTGAGGCTATCCTGGTCTGCAAAGCAAGTTTCAGGATAGCCAGAGCTGTTATACAAAGAAACGCCGTCTCAAAAAACAAAATTAATTAATTAACTTTTAAAGAAAGGCTGTTAGTGTCCAGGGATCTATCAGTCATCATGACGACCCCAGCACAGGAAGGAAGAAGAGGAAGACTAAACTGAAAACTTTTCGAAACAGAATGCACAGAAAAGAAAGTAAAAAGACAGAGACCACATGGCCATTGAAGGAACGGAAAAGATTCAGTAAAATTAAGTCTGCCAAACCATGAAAGTCAATCCTCCTATTCTTAATCTAAAATAGTAATTGAAATGTAACCAGTATTGCTTTCATTAAATAACTTAGCTGGAAAGAAGGAAGGAAGAGAAATAAGCAAAAAAAAAAAAAAAAAAAAAAAAAAAAAAAAAAAAAAAAAAAAAAAAAAAAAAAAAAAAAAGGAGGGGGAGAGGACAAGAGAGGAGAGAAGGAAAAAAAGAGTTGAAAGGAGCGAAGAGGAGAGGAGAGAAAGGGAGAAGAGAAGAGGAGAAGAGAAGAGAAGAGAAGAGAAGAGAAGAGAAGAGAAGAGAAGAGAAGAGAAGAGAAGAGAAGAGAAGGAGGAAGAGAGGGGAGGGATAGAAGGAGCATGTAAGATTTTTGAGATGGAAGACAGGAGTAGTGACAATACAAGCTGTGGATTGTTGGGAGTGACTCACGAGGCACCATCTCAGGAACTTGAGATAAGGATTTTCAAATGCTCTCAAGACAAGAGATGAGGCCTGTCTTAGTTTGCGTCTCTATTGCTGAGATGAAACATGACCAAAGCAAGTTGGACAGGAAAATGTTTATTTAGTTCATACTACTGCATCACAGTTCATCATCAAGGGAAGTCAGGATTGGAACCTGAGCAGGGCAGGGACCTGAAGGGAGGCAGGAGCTGGTGCAGAGGCCATGGAGAATGCTGCTTCTGTCTTGCTTCCCATGCTTTGCTCAGCCTGCTTCCTGTAGAACCAAGGACCACCAGCCCAGGGATGGCACAACCCATAATGGGCTGGGCCTTCCACCATCAAACACTAATTAAGAAAACACCCTCAGAAAAACCCTTTCTGAGGAGTAGATGGGGGATGGGTTGGGGAAGTAGGAGGGTAGTGAGAGGAGGAACTCTGGTTAGTATTTAAAATAAATTTTAAAAAAATAAAAATAAAGGAAAATGTCCTATAGCCGGATCTTATGGAGACATTTTCTCAACTGAGGTGCCCCCTACTCTGATGACTCTAGTTCATGTCAAATTGACATCAAACTAGCCAGCACAAAGTCTTGCGCCAAAGCCAAGGAGAGGCTTAGGAAATCAAACCAGCACCCTGAGAATACTGCATCCATAGGGGAAAGATGGGGAAAAAAGACGTACACATTTTGCCAACACAGAGAAGCAAGAAACATTGATCCGTACTTGATCGTGGGAGTGAGAAGGGATGGGTTTTTCTCTAAGAATAAGAAAGCTGAAATCTTTCCCTTACATAGGTTTGGAACCTGAGTTTTTGCTGCCCAGAACCTAGAACACTCATGCCTTATGCTGCTGATGTTCTAAATTACATCCTCTGAACTCAGAACAGAAATAAATGCAGAACTGCAGCCAAGGCATGAAGAGATTTGTCTCTTGAAAATTCTCCAAACTAAGAATCAGATATTGGCAAACGTGGTCAATGTTTCAATAACATATTAAATATGTCTATATTTATGATAGAGCATATGTCTATAATCCTGAAACTCAAAAGCCAAAACAGGAAGACTGAGCTCAATGCCATTCTGGTCTCGTGGCAGGCAGTTCACAGCCATCTGTAACTCTACTTCCAGGGGTCTGACACCTCCTTCTGGACCCCACAGGCACCTGACACACATGTACACAGACATACACATAGCCAGAACATGCACATAAAATGCAATAATATTTTTTAAAAAAAGAAATAATAGGAATGTATACTTAGCCCAAATCAAGAGGTATCCTAGGTTGCTAAACTATTCCCTAAGCTTGTCTGTCCCAACATGATACCTTTTTTCACAAGGAAAAAAAATCCAGCATATATATGAAGAAAATACCAAAACAAACAAAAGAATTAAGAAAATTCCTGAGGTGCAAAACACTGAGAATGCAGCTGTTAGTAATGTTGCTTGCCTATCATGTGCAAAGTTCTGGGACTGAGCCTCATCGCTGCAAAAACTGGGTGCAGTGGTGTTTCTATGTAATCCTAAAACTCATAAGGGGAAGCAGGAAGAACAAAAATTCAAGATCATCCTTGTCAACACAATGATTTTGAGGCTCTCCAGGGATACATGAAACCCTATCTCAAACAAAAGAATAAGAAAAACAAAACAACAAATAACCATAAAATTGATAAAAGAAGAAACAAAGATCAATAGTGAGAATTCAGAAAATAAAAAATTTCCAGGTGTGGTAGGCCACGCCTTTAATTCCAGAACCAGGATGTGGAGGCAGATGGATCAGCCTCGTCTCCATAGTGAGTCCCAAGACAAGCAGGTTACATAGAAAGACACTGTAAGAAAGGAAGGAAAATGAGGAACAGAACAAAAATCACACTCCTTGTGAAAAAAACAAAGGAATAAAATAGACAACCCATAAAAAGGAAAAAAACAAAAATAGTGCAAATATAAAAAAATAGATCTTTAGAAGATCATGAGGAAAACATGAACGTTAATGCTAAAATTTAGGAAAGTTGAAATAAAATAATTTACTAGAAAAATATAAAATACCAGTTCAAATAAAGAGAAAGGTGAATAAGTCCACACAGACGGATGTCTTCTCTGCTCACGTCATCCGGTAGCTTTATTATTTGTTGCATTTAAATCATTTGGCCCATGCATTAGGGTACCCTGGGACTTCTACCTCACTATCCTGGCCATTAGTTAAATAATTTGTCAACACCATAACTCTGTTTATTATTTTATTGGTTAGTTAATCTTTTTTTAGACTCATCTGAAGTGTCATTTTTATCAATTTTTTAAAAAACAAGTGTGAAATTCAATTCTAGTCTTTACATTCTATGCCACTGGTCTTTTTCCTTTTTCTCTCTTTTGAAAGGTTGTGTGATATATCTTCTGATATCTATTTCCATTTTGAAATCAGATATTAGATTAAGAATAAACATGCGTAGTAATGGCCCATGCCTTTAATCCCAGCACTCAGGAAGGAGGGACAGGACGATCTCTGTGAGTTTGAGGCCAGCCTCATCTACAGAGTGAGTTCCAGGACAATAAGAACTACACACAAAGAAACCCTGTCTGAAAAAAAAATTAAATTAAATATTAGCCCACCAATATAACAGTGCATTAGGAAGCAGTCTATCACAGTGAAGCAGCATCCATGTCAGGACCCGCAAATATGGTTTTGTCTTCAAATTTTAATAATACACTTTTACTCTATTGTATTTATAACAAAAAATATTTTAAGTTGTAAAAAAAACTATTTGGTAATAATGAATAGTAATTTTAAAAAGCTCTTACGAAATGAAGAATAAAGGACACATCCAATTTTAATAAATATCTACCCAAGTCTTCAACAAACATTGCATTTCTTGGTGTTCCTAGGTGTTTGTTTAGAAAGCCTCCCAATTCTTATATCTTTTAAATTGTAACCTGAGTAAAATGTAACAAGAAAACCCAGGTACATAGAGACTGGGATGGAGAAAGAAGGATTGCTCCTTTGTAACATGAGCCTTCTTACAGAAAACACCCCAAAAATCTGCAGCCTCAGTAGAACTAAGTGGGTGATTAAGATTCCCAGAGACCCAACATCAGCGTTCTACTTGTCAGCAGAAGCAGTGAGAACATGAAACCTTAGAACAATGTAGAGACTCCCGGATGTCTAGGAATAAACCTAGACAAGTTAAACTGGTGAATGAACACCAAAGGAAAACCAAAATGAATATGGACTGAATTCCCGGGTATGAAATTATTACCGTAGCGATAGCAGTTCAATTCAGAATTGAGTTCTTGAATCTGCAAAAGGCATTGCAAGTGAACAGGGCTTTCTATGGAACTTTACAAGGTGATATAAAAGTCTTTGGTCAGCAGTGACTGCAGAGACTTTGTAACCAATCAAAGTACTGGAAATATTGGCCTGTTGAACACTCGGACACAAATGGCTCATCCTATGTCACCCTCGCCGAGGCTCAGCCAACATCTTCCAAAGGGTGATCTCTGGCTTCTAGACATGGTCCATGTGGCTGTTACGCTCTTGAACTCTCAACAGCTGTGATTACATAAACACAATTTGGTTCATTAATGCCCTTCGTGGAAGTGACAGATGCTCATGTCCCACAACCTGAAGATTTATATGTAGTCAAAGACTGATGCAGAAAGGGGAGACATTTTTCTTCAGTAGGGTAGCCACTGGTAGGGTTCCTGTGCTTCTGTATACAAATTTTCACCCATGCACCTCAAAACGACCACAGTGAAACACAATGGGACACACACGCACACAAATGTGCGAGCGCGCACGCACGCACGCGCGCGCACACACACACACACATACACACGGGCAGGGAGGCGGGGAGAAGGTAGAAATAGTTGTGAAGAAGTAGAATAGCCAAAGTGGGAAGAAAGACAAAGAGAAGGTAACGGGTTGGGGGGAGGGGCAATGTGTTCAATTCCTTTCTATTCATGTTCGAAAATATAATAAGGGGGTTGGAGAGATGGCTCAGTGGTTAAGAGCCTTCTTCCAGAGGACCCACGTTCAATTCCCAGAACCTACATGGTATCTAACAACTGTAGCTCCAAGATATACCTTCAAACAGACATTCATGCAGACAAAACACCAATGCAAATAAAATAAAAACAAATAAATTATTAAATAAAATATAATCAGCCCATTATTAAGTATAACTTAACATGAGCTAATAAAAGCATTACAAATAAAATTATTTGGAAAAATGAAAAGAATTACAAAAATGGATTTGCTCAACCAAATGCAAGAGTTACCCTATGATGTGGGAGTGTCATATATCAATCTGTTGATTTCATTGGTTAAGCAATAAAGAAACTCCTTGGCCCTGATAGGTTAAAACATAGGTGGGAGGAGTAAACAGAATACGATGCTGGGAAGAAGAGGAAGTGAGGTCAGACTCTGCTCTGCTCCCAGAGAGACTTGACAGCTCTGCTCTCTGGAGCAGAGACGCCAGGCTCTGCTCTCCCAGGCAGCTCCAACCCAGGATGGACGGAGGCTAGAATCTTCCCGGTAAGCGCACCTTGGGGTGCTTACACACATTACTAGAAATGGGCTAGTCCAGGTGCGAGAGTTAGCCGAGAAGAGGCTAGATAGAAATGGGCCAAGCAGTGTTTAAATGAATACAGTTTGTGTGTTGTTATTTCGGACATAAGCTAGCAGGCAGCCGGGGTGCTGGGGACACAGCCCTGCCACTCCTATTTCAACAACCCTAAGTTTTGGTGCTAGATCATGGATTAACTAATGGAATTGTTACAAATGGAATGTTTGTGTCCTCCCAAGATGTTTGTGTCCCCCTCCCTGAGATGGGGCCTTTGAGGAAGCAACTAAGCATAAACAGAAAACGTAAGGTTGGGACCCTGATCCAAAACCATTAGTATTATTACAGGAAGTGGCAGGTCCTATGACCTGTCTCCAATGGAAAGTCATATGAAGATAAAGAGGGAAGGGCAGCTGCCTCCAGCCAGGGAGAGGGCTCTGGTGCCTCGCTCCTGGTCTTCCAGTCTCCAGAAGGCCAGAGGATAAACATCTGCAGTTTAAGCCACCCAGCCTACTGTGTTTTACAATGAATGCTGTGCTAACATAGAGGTAGATCAGAGGATTCTGACTTACACTCATCCAGTGACTTATATATGAAGAGGTAGCGTTGAAAACACTGGGACAGCAGCTGGACAGTTGGCTAAGCAGTTAAGAGCACTGGCTGTTCCTGCAAAGGACCCAGCTGGGTTCCCAGCACCCAAGCACCCCACAAGCTGCTGTAACTCTAGTTCCAGGGAATCCAGTGCCCTCTCTGGCCTTCTCAGGAACTACACGCATTTGGCAGATTACACACATACAGCCAGCACACTCGTAGACATCAGATGAAAAGAAGCAAAACTGTTTTTGAAAGACAGTTGGACAAAATATTCAATGAGAGTACCAAGGAATATTGACAGGAGAGATTGTACATCCCACTAAAATTAAAAACAACTGAAAATTTAGACATTCTATAAAAAGAATAACTAATGGAAAATGGGGAAAGAAAGTTTTCTAAGCATAAATACTTAGAATTTTGGTTGGTTTTATTCTGTGTTGGGAGAAGAGAGCTTGTATGTGGTAAAGGAATACCAAATCCCCAAGGAATGAAAGAAAAAAAAATGACGAAGGAAGCAATGAGGGAAGGTGGTCCAGGGGGTAAGGCAGGGTTAGGTGAAGAGGGAACCTCAAGGCTCCCAGAGAGCAAGGACATCCTCCCAGCAATACTGCTCATGGGAACTCTGGAGAGGACAGTACAGAAACGATGAGGGGAAGTAGCTAACAGATACCTTGAAGTAGTCTGTGCATTTATTTACATGATTACTGATAGGCACAAGACACCTGGTTTTGTAGACAAGATGGCATCTTGTGTCTCACCTGGGCTGACAGCAGTTAAGTTTGGACCCCGTCCTCTACTCGCAGAGGCCAGCAGGGAGCCATGGTTGACCAGCTTGGCCAGAAACATATTTACCTTTGTATATTTTGTTTTAAATTGTCAGGGTTGTGCAGGGGCATTTGATCATGGTTACATGGAGTAAACTGGGCTGTGTCTGGGGTGGGTGGGGCACAACTGTCTAAGACCAGCTTATCTCTTCCCCTTTCAGGACCTCTTCAACGATCTCTTCACCTGTGGGTTCCTCATAGGCGGCATAGTCTTTGCTTTGAGGGCTAGAAGAACGATGCCAGATGCCTATGTTGCAGCTATGGTGAGGTTCTTCTGCTGAGCAGTGGATTTCCTCAAATCAGCATCACAAAAATCCTGGGATCAGGGCTGGGTTGCAGCGCTGAGTCTGTAGAGTGCTGGTCTAGCCTGATCTACGGCAAGGCCAAAAGCTACTGTAGTGCCTTATGCCTGTCTACAATTGCTAGTAGTCAGGCGGTAGAGGCAGAGGATCCAAAGTCCAAAGCCATCCATGACTCAATAGTGAGTTCAAGGCAGGCCTGGGGTACATGAGACACTGTCTCAAACAAACAAAACTTGGGGGTGAAAGCAAATTTAAGGCATTGGTCAATGTTTCTAATGGAGAAGACACGTTTTTAAAGGTGGTGTCTAGGAAGGCAGACAAGTTACCTGTCACCCTCCCTCATGTTTGTCCAAAGGAAAAAATATAAACCAGATGAGGGGCACTGGGCATGGAACCAGGGAGAGCAGACTGAGGGTGGGTCTGGGAGGGAGACATTTAGGGGTACACTGTGCATCACCTCTGAGGATAGACTTGGAAGGGAATCTGCCTTCTAGGTGTGTGATGAAAATCATGAACATCCATTTGTTTCCCTAGATCCTTATGGGAATTGCCGCATTTTTTGCTGTGGTTGACCTATGTCTTCAAAGGAGACATCTCAAAGGCAAGAAGATCCGAAAGTATGCTCTGCTTGCTCCAGACAAGAATGGCAAAATGCCGGACCCAAAACTACAAGCAATGCTGGAGGCCAAAGAGGAAGAGGAGGCACGGCAAAAGGAGAAGGAAGAGAAGGAGAAACTGGAAAAAGAAAAAGAAATGAAGGAGAAGGAGAAGAAGAAGAAGGAGAAGGAAAAGAAGGCGGCGAAGAAAAAGCAGAAAAATCAGGCGAAGAAATGACTGGACAGCAACACTTGTGGTCAGGAATGGCAGCAAGTTTTGTGGCCAGGCCTTCCGACATGCTCTCCTGTTGGCGTCCTCCTACTTTTCTTTTCCATCAATAAACACCTCTTGGAAAGTAAATTTCCTCTCTAAACAAAATTTTTTTATTCTCTTTTTTTTATTAAAGATTTCTGTCTCTTCCCCACCGCCACCGCCTCCCATTTCCCTCCCCCTCCCCCAATCAAGTCCCCCTCCCTCGTCAGCCCAAAGAGCAATCAGGGTTCCCTGCCCTGTGGGAAGTCCAAGGACCACCCACCTCCATCCAGGTCTAGTAAGGTGAACATCCAAATTGCCTAGGCTCCCACAAAGCCAGTACGTGTAGTAGGATCAAAAACCCATTGCCATTGTTTTTGAGTTCTCAGTAGTCCTCATTGTCCGCTATGTTCAGCGAGTCCGGTTTTATCCCAGGCTTTTTCAGACCCAGGCCAGCTGGCCTTGGTGAGTTCCCGATAGAACATCCCCATTATCTCAGTGTGTGGGTGCACTCCTCGCTGTCCTGAGTTCCTTGCTCATGCTCTCTCTCCTTCTGCTCCTGATTTGGACCTTGAGATTTCTGACCGGTGCTCCAATGTGGGTCTCTGTCTCTGTCTCCTTTCATCGCCTGATGAAGTTTAATATTCAGGAGGATGCCTATATGTTTTTCTTTGGGTTCTCCTTATTTAGCTTCTCTAGGATCACTAATTATAGGCTCAATGTCCTTTGTTTATGGCTAGAAACCAAATATGAGTGAGTACATCCCATGTTCCTCTTTTTGGGTCTG